TTCAACTCACGGTAAAGCTGCTCCTCTCCTGTCTCCATTGATGTTCCACTGGGGGATATGAGCCAAGGTTTGTTGGGCTCCAACCAGCTGACCACCATCGACCAGTCAGAGCTCAGCACTCAGCTGGGGCTCGGACTGGGAGGAGGTAACTTGTTACAGCGCCCCCAGTCACCTGAACCCCCTCTGCCAGCTACAGCATCCCCAACTAGCTCATTACAGGACGATGACATGGATGATTTCAGGAGGGTCAGTCAGTACAACTTTTTTTTCCCAGAAATTCTTACATTTTTGGCAAAACTGGCTATAAAGTTTTTAAATACATGTTATCCCTCCCGCACCTCCAGAGCGTGCTTGTCGAATCTCCACTCTCTCACTCCGTCTCTCCTGGTGTCATCTCCCTTGACCCCACCATGTCCGAGTCACCCCTCTCCACCACGGCCTTTGCCCTCTCTCCAGCTGTGAGGCGTAAAAGTGACCCAAAGCCTCCTCAGAAACCGGTGGCGGCGTACGCTCTTTTCTTCAGTGACACGCAAGCAGCGATTAAAGGACAGAATCCCAACGCTACATTTGCAGAAGTTTCTAAGATCGTTGCCTCCATGTGGGACAGTCTGGGGGAGGAGCAAAAACAGGTGAGAGAAACAACTCAGGACACTGTAAATACAATCACATTAATGGTAAACATAAATGTTTATTCAAAAACAAGAAAGAAAATCATTGTATTAGTTGGGTTAGTGAACCTGATTGGTCGGTTGTGTTTAAATAGACATTAAACCCCATCTTGTTTTATGTCTTGTATGATTTGTCAAAATGATTATTTTCACATTTTTCTTCTCCAGGTTTACAAGAGGAAAAATGAAGCTGCTAAGAGGGAGTACGTGAAAGCACTGTCAGAGTACAGAGCCAGTCAGGCGTCTCAGGTGATTACATCAGTCTATGGAGGCGAAGTTTCATTTTGTTTTTGTGAATAAAACTTTCCCAAGATTTTAAGTGGAGTTGTAAAGACATGTTACCACCTGCAGCCTCAGATGACAGACCACCTTAGAATTTGAATTAGGGCTGCACAATGAATCAAATCAGAATCAAATCACAATCACAATTTTGGTTGCCACGAGTAAATTAAGATGATCATCAGTGATATTAACATTTAAAAAGTGGACTCTGCTGCATATGATCTCAATCACTTTCTCAACCAATACTCAGCCAACCACCAGAGAGCGAGAGAAAGCTGTCTAATTAGGAAGTTTGCCTCTAGGTCTGACATGCTATATGTAGTATATGAGTACTTAAGCTAAAAAATATTGAAATATGATTTTTAGTCCATATGACCCAGCCCTAGTCCTGGGTAAATTGTTTTTTTTATTTTTAGTTTCATTTAAATCTGAAAGCATTATTCACTGTTTTTTTTTAAATAGAAAGTGCAATAATGAAAAGTCATAATTTATAATTGCAATTTCAATATTAATAAAATAATCATGATTATCATTTTGGCCAAAACCCTGCAGCCTGAGTTCAATCAGAAACGCTAAACCGACAACAGTAAGGTCAGACGTGGAATCAGAAGAACAAAAAAACAACAACAACACGGGCTTTAAATTTTCTCAACTGCTTCTTGAGCCCACAGTCCCCATAATCATGTTGTGTCATTTATATTTTCTTCCTTCTGTTGCCACCTAAAAAGGTTCTCCTGTTTGAACCATAGAATTCATATGTTGATCATACTGAGGAAAACATAGTGATTGAGAAATTGTCCTCGTGTTGATAACGTTCATTTCATTTGTCTTTCTCTCCTCAGGTCCCCATTGAAGTCATGGACACGTCTCCATCGTCACCACCTCCAGCACCTTCTCCCACAGTCATCCAGATGTCCAATCCTGCTGGGCGGGTTACCCGATCACATTACAACCCTGAGGAGAACACCATCACCAACATCTGTGCCTCCAACATCATCAGAATGGACCTAGAGCAAGTCACCACCCGCTCACGCCTCAAATCCCAAAACCCGCCCACTTCCACTGCTCCGAACCCACCAGCAGTCACCAAGATCATCATTAAGCAGACCCAGCTGCCCTCTGGTGGTGTGTCGGTGACAGCAATGCCTGCCCCATCGCAGCGCCAGCCTCCTCCTCTGCAACAGATGCAAAGCACACCTCACCCCCCTCGTCTCCAGCAGGCACCGCCGCCCCTCCAGGCCAAACCCCGTGGAGCAGGTTTGGCATCTGCCTCGGCTCCTCCGCCGCTGCAGATAAAGGTGGTGCCGTCATCTCGTCAGACGGACTCAGTTGCTCCGATAATTGTGAAGTCGGAGGCAGAAACGCAGAAATCTACGTCTTCCTCTTCTGTGATGGTGGAGGTGGGGCAGTCGACTGTGGTGGTGAGGGAAGGAGAGGAGGAGGCAGAAGAAAGGGTGAGTTTGTGACACTTCAGTAACACAACAGTGAATTAATAACAATGAGCAACAACAGTCTCTTCATGGCAAGCTAAACTACGACCCTTTTTGTGGGTTTAAACTTTTATCAAGACTTTGTCAAAATTAAAGGAAAACTGACAATGTCCGAATTCTGGTTTTGTTTGAAATCGACATCAAAGCCCCTCAGTTATGACTGCAAACGTCAGGTCCAGAGAAACACTGATTCAAATAAAAGTGAACGAAATTTGAGAGAATGTTGAAAGCTGTTTTAAGTCTGAAGGAGATTTTAGTTTGAGGACACGTGGCCAAACATAAAAAGCCAGACTTAAGTAGATGTATTTTTTCACCACATTGTCTCCAAGTCTTGAAGGATTCTTCTGACCCTCAACCATGATTAATCAGGATTAATCATCAGTAAATAAACACGTCTTTCTGGTTTTGTTTGTGATTCAGATGGAGGTGGTGGTGAATGTGGCCTCCAGCCTGAGCTCCACCCCTGCCACCTCCAGTCCAAACATCTGCGTACGTGCCGGCTGCACAAACGTGGCTGTGGAGAGCGAAGACTGGGACAAGGAGTACTGTAGCAATGAATGTGTGGCCACACACTGCAGGTATCTCCACTTAATGCCAGAAAGAAAATACAAGCACACATCACAAATAAGAATGTTTCCCATTATTTTGTTTTTTTAATTTATTTTTTTCCACAGGGATGTGTTTATGGCCTGGTGCGCCATCCGTGGGCAGAACTCCACCACGGTCACATAGAAGTATGGGCACGTGAATGAAAGAGAAGGTGACCACACGTACATATCGTAGCCAGATAAGACTCAGGAATCTGGGATGAATTTGTCAATCATGTCGTTTTAGATGTGCAGAGTTAAAGAGGGAGGTGGGTGTATTTAATTTGTTCCTGTGGTTCCAATTATCTGAAGAAAAAAAACAACCTAAACTAAACAAAGCTTTTGCTAAGGAAACACAGACTGGTCTTTACTACGTTGATCCTTTTAAGGTTGTGGATGAAAATACAGAAGAAGAAATCAGAGACTCTTGTTGATCAACTATTGTGAATTTTTAAAAAAAGGACATTTCCTATGTGCTGCTTGAATTTTTAATTATTTGTAAATAAGGAGAAAATAATTCAGGATAAAATCATGCTCCTGCAGATGTTTCCACTTCTTTATATCAAAGAAAAACAAACTTCAGATGGATTTTGCTTTTCTACAGTCAGTTAGAAGTGTTTTTTTAACCTGATTTTGATTATTTTGACTGTTACGAAATTTTGGCAAAGCACAAAGAGGTTCTAATAGAGGAGCTAATTTTGGAGAAAATGTATTTGGACTCAATGCCCCATTTGGCCACACAGACTCTGATTTCTGTAAGCAAGTCATCAGTAATCCATCCACACTTGAAGTCTTTGGTCACTTCTAGTGTTCAAGTGTAGGGCAGATAGAAAAAGATGTGCTGTTTTACATGTTGACCAAACAAAAAAAACACCGGTGACCCTAAACTTGACCAACCTTCATAGATCAGTTTGAATATTGCGTTCTGTGGGTTACCTTAAGCGGTAATCCCTGAGGCACCACCGAACATTACGTTTTATCCCTAATTTGTCTCTAAATAGGATCATGATTTACAGTCATTGTATTCAGTTAAAAATCAGACTGTAGCCTTTAACACTACAAACTGCTCACTTAATTGTTTATTGGAATTAAAACTGATTAAGAAGTTGCCCATCAATAATTTAGTTTACTAATGATATTGCCCCCTGGTGGTTATTTTAAACTTCACACATCCCCCAGGAACCTGGAACTTTAGGGTACCATACATAAGCTGCTTTTCAGATGCTTTGATGTGGTGATGAGGAGGACTCGGATATTTACACTGTTACCTTGAAACTCCCAGCAAAACGACATAATGTCACTGTTTTTACGTTTTTACTGATGGTTTAAGGGCAAGCTGCTCTGAAGCAACCTCTGCTGGATCACACAGAACCTTGTGTGCTTTTACACTGTATGTTACAAACTCCTCATTTTTCTAATTTAATAAAATCTCTCAAAAGGTATGTGGATTTTTGGTATTGGCTTTAAAAATCACTCCACTATTAACATTCTGAACAAAGATCCAGAAATTGTTCTAGAGAGTGGAATATTGTGAAAAGTCTTTCATTTTACTTCAAATCATTTTACAAAATTACTTCTGGAATAATATCCTGGAAATGTTGAAATCAGGTGCTAATATTCAGGTAATAAAGAATATTTCAAATTATTTTCAGTTTTTGTTTATGCTTTTTCAGTGACCGATTGGGGATTTAAAAAAAAGTGGAACTAGATAAACCTATCCCAGCTCTAATCAAACCTCTTGTAAAAGGGAAATGGGGAAAATTGATCAAAACTGAATTTAAACAATATCTTAGTCAAGGCGCTTGAGTTCAGTGCTAACTAACAATAACAATTATAATGCTAAGAGAAGAATTATCAACAGTCAAGTTCAGTTATATGCTTATGACTCTGGTTGATGTTAATATTCCTGGAAATGTTTTTATTGGTGAAATAAAATATTTTATGCTTTCAATAAACATTTGGAGCATCATTCTGTCCTTATACCTAAGAAACTGCAGACAATTTTTTGGACAGCACAGCATTCTGAGTGTTTTGTGTGTCCCACAAATGAAATGCAAGTTAGAAGATTCACTCTGTACTGACGCTCTAATTTATTTATTACGAGACTTACTTTGCATTTAATTATTGTTTAATTTAAATAATTATAAATGATTTTTTTTTAAACATTAACACAAAATAATGTCAAATGTGTGGTTGTCGAACGGATATTTTAATAAAAAATAAGTCAAATAAAATTTTCCGCTTCTACTAATCTCGCGAGAATGAGGTCAGCCCTTTCACTGTTTGATGACGATGGCGGGAAAAGCCATCATGGCGGGAAAGAATGCATGCAGCATGGTCAACATGTGGCAGAGGGCGCTGTTGCTACCAAGCTTTGATATCCACAACAAATCTTTAAAACTTCACAGACTAAAAAATGATGGATAAAATGCATATCGTCATATTTTCCCTTTAGTTTAATTTAATTTGCTAAATATACACGTAAAGTTGAACAGGGAGGGGGTATGTGGTCGTGGTGCGTTTAGGAACAGTTTATTAAAACTCGTGGTGAAAAGGAGGCGAGAAAAAGGAGGCACAATGAGAAAAGAGGAGGGGGCTTGCTCGTAATTAAAACGGCTTGGTTAGTGGGTGGACGTGTGTGGGGTGGACAATTCTTTTCTGATTTTAATATTTTTCGTGTCTTAATGTCTTAGGTATTTGTTATTTGATAGGTGTCTTGTTGGGTTTTTTTTGTCTTCAGTGCGTGAGACTTCAGTAGTTGGAATCTCAAGGACATAAAGAATAAAGCGTCCATCTCGGTGGAAATAAAGTGTGTTGTCGTTGTCGCGGATCCTCATCATATTCAGCCTCATCTCCCTCCACCTCCTGCTCGTAATCGTCATCACCATCCTCCGGCCTCCTGAGAAGCAAAGCTGGGAGCTGGAGTTTGCAGCAGAGAGTACGCAGCATGGCGGTAAACCTGGACAAGGAAGCTTACTACCGCCGCATCAAGAGATTTTACAGCAACTGGAAGGTAAAATCATATGTGGTGCGTCTTCCGAGTCGTTACGTTTGTAGGATTTTATTTAATGTAAACGAAGAGAAAGTAAACGGGATGGAGAGAGTTAGCCGCTGAGCTAACGGCGAACTCAGCCGCGTTTCCAAGCCGAGTGATGTGACTCCTCAACCGAGGTCTCTGTCTGAGGGTACCGCAAGGGAGGTGTGAATAGGCAGGATTCTTGTAGCACGGGTCGACCTAGTTTAGTTTCGAAAACTAATTTCCCTACTGGGAGATTTCTGAATCTATCAAACTAGCTTCTTTCATGCTAAACCCAGCATATCATTCTATTGAGCGCGTTACCTTAGCGCGCTAGCTGTTTAGCTAACTTCCCAATCTGGAAAATGTAATTGTTCCCATTATTGTTTAAGATGGCAAATCAACATTTACAAAATATCAGCAAAGCAAAACAGATTATTCGACATTCTTGGCATGCGACAGCAACTCTTTAATGGCACTGTTATCGGTCCCTTTCTGTTTATGCTAAAAGGCTAATTAGCATCAGAATAAAGTGACATGTGTATGAAGTCTCAAACTAACTTTAACCGACATTTCTAACGGTTGAAGCACTGTGCAATTAGTTCTGATGTTTTTAGATCAAGTTTATTTTACAAGTTCCTAAGTCAACTCTGTACAAGAGTGCTTGAGGTTTTGCATTACATTGGAGGTACATTACAGTTGATGTAAAAGGAAGCTGTGCAACATAATTCGTTCGATCTGAATATGTACACTTAAATCCTTTACCTCCCGGTGCTATGCACACACTTTTACAATAACTCTTATTACTGACGTATATTTTCAATACATTTTAATACTGACATGTCAATGTAAGTTCACACAGACAGTTAATGTCATAAATCTAAGCACTAACTTTAAAATAATTTTCACAAGCACTCATTATACAACAAGGTTTAAGACAAGTGTTTTTTTATTTAAAAATATCACCAGTCACATCTGTCAGTAGTCACTGACCCCTGTGTGACCTAAGTCTACTCACCTAATACATACATTTTCCTTTCTTTTTTTTCCCACCTAGAAAGGAGAGGATGAGTTCGGAAAAGTCGACGCTATCGTGGTGTCTGTTGGAGTGGACGAGGAGATTGTCTACGCCAAGTCCACAGCCATACAGGTAAGGTCTTTTGAAGCCAAATTATAACTCCAGTGGATACAGATGTTGTCAGTCTTTTTTGCAGTTTCTACTACAAACAGCAGTAGTTGTTTGTTTTTTATTGAATTAAAATACATTTTAACAAGATTCTTTTTTAATTTGTATTTGTGTCATTTGAAAATGTGTCTTGTCTGTGATTGTCTTTAAATGTTGTTGCTTTTCTCTGTGCCAAATTTAATAAAATCCTTAAAGAAAGACAAGCCTTGTATGTGTGCTAAAAGTTCTGAGCGGTTTATACGTTATTTTATGCCTCAAGGTTGAACAAGTGCTTGAAGACACTAACTTGGTTTACATTTTTTTAACAACACAACTTCCTGTCACTGTCTTCATCATTCAATGGGTTAAACTGCACTGAAAGAAGTTGCCACTGAACTGCACTTATTTTATGTTGTTAGACGCTTCAATACCTTCTATTTCACACTTGTTTATATTAAATTGTTAGTTTGATCTTAGATGTGTTAAATAACTGACTATTTACTGTTTGTTTTTGGGGTTTTTTTTCTCAGACATGGCTGTTTGGCTATGAGCTGACGGACACCATCATGGTGTTCTGTGACACCAAAATCATTTTCCTGGCCAGCAAGAAGAAGGTGGATTTCCTTAAACAGGTGGCAATCACCAAGGGGAATGAGAACGCTAATGGTGCTCCGCCCATCACCCTACTCACCAGAGAAAAGGTAAAGCCTAAGCATTTCATCTGAGAATCCACTTGGAGTTCGATACACTTTTCCCTGTTAAAGTTTTTGTATGAATTTCATGTTGCTCAGTTGGGTTGCGTAAATAATTGCTGATGCATTTTTTGGGATGTAAAATGTTGTGTTAAAATTTGAAGGTCTTAAAAATTGTGAATCATTAATAATTCAGCCATGTTTTAGGCAGGCATTGAATGAGTGTTGCTTGTTTTTGCATGTTTGAATTTATAGTTTGTCTACAAATGATTGTTTATCTAATGGATAGATACGTTTCTTCTGTTTCTGTCACGTTTGAAAAACGTTTTGGTCCTGTGTTTATATTCCAACATTTAAAAAAAAAAAAAAAGTTTTTTTGTGCCATTTTCTGCGCCAATTGTTGATCAACAGAATTAGTATCTACTGGTCACACTGCCAAATGGTAGCATGATTTATTTATTGACACTGACTGCTCTTCGTTTTAGAACGAAAGCAACAAGGCCAACTTTGATAAGATGATCGAGGCCATAAAAGGGAGCAAAGAGGGAAAGACAGTTGGAGTTTTCAGCAAAGATAAATTTCCTGGAGAGTACATGAAGAGCTGGAACGACACGATCAACGCAGAGGGACTGGAAAAGGTAAATATGGAAAAACATCGGGACTAAAAATGATTGTGTGTCACATGTCTGAATCAAATCTGCCGTCTGCCCATTGTCCAGGTGGACATTAGTGCAGTGGTGGCATACACAATGGCAGTGAAAGAAGACGGCGAGCTGAATCTGATGAAGAAAGCGGCTGCCATCACCAGTGAGGTTTACTCTAAGTTCTTCAAGGAGCGGGTCATGGAGATTGTGGATGCAGATGAGGTCAGATTTGTTCAGATGTTTGTGGCAGGAGACCATGTAGAGTGTAAACATTTGTGAAATGACAATAATGTGATTGGTTTTTTTTTTCCCCTAATTCTTTGTTTTTTGTTTTTTGTGTCCCTCTGCAGAAAGTGCGTCATAGTAAACTGGCTGAGTCGGTGGAAAAAGCCATCGAAGAGAAGAAATATCTAGGTGGCGCCGATCCTTCCACAGTTGAGATGTGTTATCCTCCCATCATCCAAAGTGGAGGCAACTACAGTCTCAAGTTCAGCGTCGTCAGGTAACCTCAGATGTTGCATTTTACTGGAGACATCGAGGAAAAAGTTCTCCTAGTTTCCCTAAAAATAGGTTTGAGCATGAAATGTATATTTTTATGTAACTCGTCTACAAATTATACACTGTTAAAGAAGAAATACCATGAACTGTACTTTTTATTGAATATCTAACAGGCTGAAAAATTAAAAATGATCTCAAATTTAAAACAGTTGTTCAGAGTTAGTTGTATTAGTTAGTGGTGTTCACTTCCTGCTGTTCATCAGCTCTTTTTTTTTATTCCCCAACTGCTTCTCTCTGCTAGTGATAAGAACCACATGCACTTTGGTGCCATCACCTGTGCCATGGGCATCCGCTACAAGTCCTACTGCTCCAATTTGGTGCGAACCCTCATGGTGGACCCCCCTCAGGAAATGCAGGACAACTACAACTTCCTGCTGCAGGTGGAGGAGGAGTTGCTGAAGGAGCTCAAACATGGTGTGTCCAAGGAGAATGATTCATTTTCTGATTAAATTAATGATTTGAAGAGTAGAAAATGGTTTATGATTCAATTTTTTCTATTTATTTGTGTTTGATTTTCATAACAGGTGTAAAAATCTGTGACGCCTACAATGCTGTCCTGGAGTTTGTGAAGAAAGAGAAGGCAGACCTGGTGCCAAAGCTGACCAAAAACCTTGGGTAAACACATACACACACACAACCAAAGTGAAACCGTCTTCTCTGCTTTCATTCAACCAGCCACTGACTCCTGTGGCTGTTTTCTGTCTTGTAGCTTTGCAATGGGGATCGAGTTCAGAGAGGGCTCTTTAGTTCTGAATGTAAAAAACCAGTACAAGCTGAAAAAAGGTCAGGACTTCATTTTTCCAACATTACACAATTCTTAGTTTGGTCTTTTTCTGTTGAGTTTTATATGGAGGTGATTTGCTTAAATTGGTTTTGTGTGTGTTTACTGTAGGCATGGTGCTGAGCATCAGTTTGGGATTCGCCGACCTCGAGAATAAAGAGGGCAAAAAGGACGAGCAGAAGAAATATGCCTTATTTATTGGTGACACAATACAGATCAACGAGGTGAAAAATCAACTGGAAATCTCCTAAAGGATTTTTGTTAATGTCTGTTGATGAGATTGATAATTGGCTGCATTTTTTTTCTTCTCAAAATGTTTTTCCCCTAACGGCCAGAGGAGGTCAGATGTCATGTCATGTTTTAAACCAGGGCATTCTTTTTTATTTCACAGGAAGAAGCTGCGACCGTTCTTACACCAGTCAAGAAGAAGATAAAAAATGTGGGAATCTTCTTAAAGGTGTGTGTCTGGTTTTATCTTTGGAATCTTTTTATAAACCAACACAGAGAGTGAGTGAAGGAAAAGTAAACATAGAGCTGTTACTACTGTGATTCAGTAAAATGTGAGCGTGAATTTGGCTGAATATGATTTCAGCCTTCTATGGTGCTTCATTTAATGCATTTAAAATTAAATATTTTTTAATTTGTCATATTTTGCAACCCAGGTAATGTTTCCTGTATTGTGAGAGCAGTAGTTAAAGTATTTGGACCAGTTTTTTGGTGGCTAAATGATAGGAAAAAAAATTGGGCCATAAATATTCAATATGACTGAAAATGTGGACAAACATTAAATGGTTCCTGTTCTCTAACACACTAATTGTAAATTAAACATGTGGAGACGGTTTGTGTAAAACTGTTGAACTATTTGTATTGATAAGATTTTTTTTTTTAAATTGTTGGACATGTTGCTGCTAATACTTTTAGACACACAAGTGAGTTGCTGCATAGTAAACTGCTAATACTTTTAGACACACAAGTGATACACTCTGGGTTTCTAGGTTGCTAGGCTGCGGCGAGTCTTGCATTCATTGTCATTGTGTTGCACTGTACTGTAGAAAGTTTGAATTACTGGCCAATTGTGATTCTCAGTTTCTCTCCACATTTCTTAAATGACCACAGACCAGGCCACTGAGGTCGTGCCTGGGCCACATGTGGCCCACGGGCCGCCATTTGAATAGACTGGCTTTAAGGGCACAAACACTGTAAATGGTTAGTGTTTAGTTTGCTTGAGTTTTTTTTATTGTGTTCAGATGTTTGCAGGACAATAACTACTAACTGGCAAAGAGAAAAGTTTGCAGCTGATTGGTGTCATTTAACATCATACACAGTAAATCTGTACTGCAGACAAATGTGTGTTAGCACTTTTTAACATGTTAGGAGGACTAATGTTTGTAGGTTATTTACTGTTGATTAATTATTTTAAAATTTGTCACCTTAAATTCCAAATCTGAAGTCAATCTCACAATATGGTGTCGTACGCTCCTCAGAATGATGATGAGGAGGATGAGGAGGAAGATGGCGACGATGCAGAGGAGCTGTTGGGAAAAGGAGCGAGGAGCGCTGCACTGCTCGCAGACAGAACTAGGGTGAGTTCTCTTTATTGTAATTTAATACGTACCGGTTGAAGTTGTTGACTATTCCAACACGTGAATGGTGATCAGTGTTGATTATCTGCCCTGACCTTGTGTCAATAACTGAGAGTATGAATGTCTTTGTACTCTTATCAGCTACTGGGGAAGGTAAGTATTCACCGTTTCTTCTCCAGTCTCATCAGTTCAGCTGGTTTACCTGATTAAAATTAAAACCTGCTGATGGAAAGTCTTAACTTTTTATTTGTTTTTGTCTTTCTTTTCCTTTCTCCATTTTCAGTCTTTGAAGAGATGTTCTTTTACTCAATGTGTATTTTCATGTTTCATAACCATTTTAAAGATGCATCTCATCTTTGTATTCTGCATGTTTTTATGCTTTTTGTTCAATGCTTTTCCTTTTTTTATATACTATTAACCTTCAAAGTCACACCGTGGCCTTCGTTGAGCCATCACTCAGTTATGTCTGTTATCAATCACAGAATGAAATGACAGCAGAGGAGAAGAGGCGGGCCCACCAGAAAGAGCTTGCCAATCATCTGAACGAAGAAGCCAAGAGGCGTCTTACTGAGCAGAAGGGGGAGCAGCACACTCAGAAGTGAGTGGAGAAGGCCTGATGGGGATGCTAGAACAGGGACCAATTAAGTCGGAGCTGCTATTTTGCTTTTTTTTTTTAATTTCTAAAACATTTTGTTTGGAAAAACAAGTGTTTTTATTCAATTTCAAAAGGACTTAGGGCTTTAAGTTAGAGCGCTAAAACTCTATAAAACTGGATGTTCTTGTTGCAACACAAAGCTGTAAATGAAAATGGGATTCACAATAACAGAAACAGGATCACTGTTTACTAAGAGGAGTAAAACGGATAATTCGTCAGTAGAGGGCAGCACAGTGCAGCTCAGTCAAACTGATAAAGCTTTTTGATATTAACTGAATTCTTTACTTTTTTTGACAGGGTCAAAAAGTCAAATGTTTCCTACAAAAATGTGTCTCAGATGCCCCGGGAAAAAGAAATCAGAGAAATGAAAATCTTCATTGACAAGAAGTACGAGACAGTCATCATGCCCGTTTTTGGTATTGCAACGCCGTTTCACATCGCGACCATTAAGGTACAGAAATGTTTTATTTTTCTGTCAACCAGCTGTGGTTATTTTATATTATTATATTGTGCCTCATGGACTAAGAAGCTCTTTTGTTGTTTTTGTCTTTAGAACATCAGTATGTCAGTAGAGGGCGACTACACCTACCTGAGAATCAACTTCTACGTTCCCGGCAGCTCCCTGGGACGACAGGAAGGAAATATTTTCCCCAACCCTGACGCCACATTTGTCAAAGAAATGTGAGCCTTTGTGTTTTCCTCATCATGCTTCCTGCATGCTGTTGTCATCCCGATAAATATGCCTTCATCACCGTTTTATCGTCTTTTTTCAGCACATACCGAGCGTCCAACCTGAAAGCCCCGGGGGACATCTCTGTTCCATCCACCAACCTGCAGAACGCATTCCGAATCATCAAGGAGGTGCAGAAACGGTACAAGACACGGGAGGCCGAGGAGAAGGAGAAGGAGGGCATCGTCAAGCAGGACTCGCTGGTCATTAACCTCAACCGCAGCAACCCCAAACTCAAAGACCTCTACATCAGACCCAACATCGCTCAGAAAAGGATGCAGGGCTCGCTGGAGGCACACACCAATGGTGAGGGGAGAAGTCTAATGAGCTGAAAAGCACCAGAGAAATCTCCGGATCGCTGTGAATGTTCTCTGCTGGTCTCTTGCAGGTTTCCGTTTCACATCAGTCCGTGGCGACAAAGTGGACATTCTTTACAACAACATCAAGCACGCCATCTTCCAGCCATGTGACGGCGAGATGATCATTGTTCTGCACTTCCACCTCAAGGTGCGTTGAAATGTTCATCATGATTTGTTAATATCTATGAACTCAAGATGTTTATGTTGTCCAATCTTGACTATTAAGGTTAAATATGTGCAACTACCACACAGGCTGTTAGTGTTGACAGTTGGTAGTGTTTTGTTGATTGCAAAAGGCATTTGATCACAGTATTCACTGCTGCTAATTTTTATATTGCATAACAATATATTGTATTGTTAACTTAAAACTAGCTAATCTGTATTGTTATTAAAGATGATCCACATTAGCAAGTAGCAATGATGCTAAGTGTATCATCAACATTTGAAAATGATAATGTTTACATTTTAAGGGTATCTTCATTATTTCAGACAATTTGGTTATTCTTGGTCTTGCATACCTTCAAAAGCACGCAGGACTGTAAAATAGTTTACTGTTATTTTATATTTTTCTACCTGTACTGTTTTTATTTATTCTTTTGTTCATCATATATATGACATAATACAGTATGTCGTGATCATTTTCTGCTGTATTGCGAGGTCCAAGAACAGCATGTTCTGTTGACATTGTCTTGATCATTGTGTATAACACATTAGAACAGTTATCATTGCCTGTTTTGCGTTAAGGTGAGTTTTTTTTTTTTTTTTTTTTTAAATGAGGGATACTCTTCAGGCTTAGTTTTTGACTAAATACAATTTAAACAGAAGAAAAAAGAAACCTTTATCAGTAGGTAGGGAGGGCCAGTGATCTTTAGCTTATACATAACTGAACTTAAACATAGGTTCTATGTAACAGATTTGCTGGTAACATTTTCATAGTAAACCATGAAATTGGGTTTTGCCTGCAGTACCACTGCTGGCCAGTAGTCTACGGAAAATTAACTTCCTTAATGTCCTACAGGAGGATGACACATGTTTTCTGTAATTGCTCTGAAATAGAAGAACCATTGTAATACTATGCTTAACACACGTTTTGGATTGATTGTCAAACTCTTTCACTCAACCCTTTTCCTCCAGAACGCCATCATGTTTGGCAAGAGGCGCCATACAGATGTCCAGTTCTACACGGAGGTGGGCGAGATCACCACAGATCTGGGCAAACACCAACACATGCACGACAGAGACGACCTCTACGCCGAACAGATGGAGCGTGAAATGAGGCACAAGCTAAAGTCGGCCTTCAAGAACTTCATCGAGAAGGTGGAGACGCTGACAAAAGAGGAGCTGGAGTTCGAGGTTCCCTTCAGAGACCTGGGGTGTGTCCAAGACTCATTCTGCTTCATAAGAGATAGGATCACATGGTGGAACATAGAATTGTGAAGAAGTTTGTACTAATAGTTTGATTTTTGAATTGTTTTTTTTCCCTTTTAGGTTCCAGGGTGCCCCCTATAGGAGCACCTGTCTACTACAGCCTACGTCCAGTTCTCTAGTGAATGTCACTGAATGGGTGAGACTATTCGGACCACCAATTGCGACTGTAGAAAGAATTTTCATCAGCAATATTCAGAATATTGAGCTATAATTCTTGTTTAATTACTTTTAGCCGCCATTTGTTGTCACCCTGGATGAGGTAGAGCTGGTCCACTTTGAGCGTGTTCAGTTCCACCTAAAGAACTTTGACGTGGTCATCATCTACAAGGACTACAACAAGAAGGTCACCATGATAAACGCTGTCCCTGTCAACTCACTGGACCCCATCAAGGAGTGGCTCAAGTAAAGACTTCTTGTCTTCTTAAATGTGAAATAAATGATGTCCGTTGCTCTGCATCCTCATCAGGAAAAGAACACTTTGGAAAAACTCTTGTATAGAATTATAGTGACAGGCTTTTGTCTTGTCTTCAGTTCATGTGACATCAAGTACACAGAGGGAGTCCAGTCTCTGAACTGGACCAAGATCATGAAGACCATTGTGGACGACCCAGAGGGTTTCTTTGAGCAGGGCGGCTGGTCTTTCTTGGACCCAGACAGCGAGGTACGTCGAGCACTTTTTCAACATAGGGTTTCTCCTCTGTTGGCATCAAAATGGTCCTTGTCGAAAACCACTACGCTAACTTTTTTTTTGTTTTTTTAAATTAGGGAAGCGGCCCAGAGATGGACTCGGAGTCAGAGATGGAGGACGAGACGTTCAACCCGTCTGCAGATGAGGAGGAAGAGGAGGAAGAAGAAGACAGCGATGAAGATTACAGCTCGGAGACAGAAGACTCTGGTGCGTGAAGTTCCTTATTTTCTGCCCTCGGTGTGCTTTCTTTGTTGGTTCTCACTGTGTGTTGTGTACTGGTCTTGTAGATTACAGTGCATCACTGGGCAGTGAAGAAGAGAGTGGCAAAGACTGGGACGAGTTGGAGGAAGAAGCCCGCAAAGGTTTGTCCTGTTGTTTAGCAAAAATTAAAAATCAAATTTACCACTTTGGTTTTTTTTTTTTTTTCAGTTTTTGAATTTGTATTCAACCAGTATCTAACATATTTACAGCAAACAGCCATGACGTCACTGAAGTTTGGGCATTTGAAAAGCATTTTTCTTTTTAATTAATGGCTGTTTTTTTTTTCTTCTGCTGCTAAAAAAACCTCAGTTTTGTTCTTGTTACCAACTTTAAAATGTTCTATATTTACATTTAAAATATAACACCTTCTTATGCGTATAGAGTGGGCCCCAGTACAAGTTTAAAATACAAGTATTCCATGTTACGAGTCTGCAACTATTGCAAGATTTTGCTCCTGATATGAGGAATTTTTTTTTTCCGCATCCATTCAGTCGTACAGCATGGGGAAGCCGCAAGCTCTGATGCCAAAGCAGCTGCGGAGTTCGTCACAAACTTTGTGTTTAATATAAATAATATACTGTATATAAACCTTCTCCTACCTTAGTGGTCCAACACTCTCTCGCTCTCTGTCCCTTGCTGGGTTATTTTACCCATTTTATGACAATAATATAAAATGTTTACTTAATTATTTTATATTATCAATTTATTTGTTTTTATCTGTGTTTTTGATATTTAGATGGGGAAAAATGTATAGTATATTGCTGGGGGCTCGAGAGTATTCATTGGTTTAGTTATTTTTAATGGGAAAAATTTGATTTGGATATGAGTGGATCGTGACACTAGTGCTGTTGTGGAATGGATTAGACTTGTCCACTGCATTCATATACTGTACATTGAAGGTAATAAGTTTACATTCTTCCTCCGAAAACTGTTTATTGCACAAAAAACTAATGACCTCATGAAATGGGTCCTGAAAATAATTGTGTTTAAATTGTTATTTAAGATTGGCTGTATAGTGCATGAATTTTGTGAAAATTATTTATTTATTTTACAGCTGACAAAGAGAGTCATTATGAGGATGAGGACACCTCCAACAGGAAGAGGAAAGTCCGGTCATCAGCACCGCCCAGCAAGAAAAAGAGGCGGTCCTAAACAAACTATACACACACATATACACACACACACACACTGCCAAAACCCTAATTGCCCTGACTGGCTCTCTCTCCCTCTCTTCCTCTTTTCATTTCTCTCTCACACACCCTCTCTCTCTCTCTCTCTCTCTCTCTCTTCCTTCCTTCCTCTCCCTTCCTTCCTTCCTTCCTCTCCCCCTCTCTTTCTCTTTTCCCTTCTCTCTCACATACATGACATGTACATAGTTTGTAGAACCTCTTTTTTTGTGTTGGTAAGTGAAGTGTTGACATTGATGTGGTCGAAAAGGAACCAGCAACACATACATACACATTATTTTTGTTTTTCTCTAATTTCCTCATTCTAATTGTTGTGTCCTCTTCTATCGCTTATCAGGGTTTCATGTTTGTGTGTGTGTGTGTGTGTGTGTTTGATGGGTTTTTATTGCGAACATGCATTATTTTTGTTTAGGAAATGTTTCTTAACTAAGAAAAGAACTGATGATCCTCTGCCAAGTGTTTTTATATAAAACTGAGAAGCCTTTTTTTCCTCTTCCGCCTTCTCATCCACATTTCACTTCTCAGTGTTTAAGTCGTGGCATCAAATTAAACAAAATTTCTTACTTTTTTCCCCCCAATCAGGGCTGATAAACATTTTCTGGATTTTTTTTTTTTTTTTTTAATTGTACGCAGACACACACACACTGTCTCTTTCGCACTTGTTTTCATGTTCTTTTTGTTTATTTTGAGTAGAAATGTTATTTCTGAGAATCATTTTTGTTTTTGTAATAAAATTAAAAGAAATTGTTTGTCTTCACCTATGTGTTGCCTCTTTCATTGCTCCAGATGTCATGACCCCTTCTGATTCAAGGTCACCTTGATCTGTTAAGGCCACTGACCCTAGGTAAGGCCAGACAGAACGTTTGTGTGCTACAACTAATGGTGCGTTCAAGTTGAACGAAAATGTTATACCCTCCGTGTCGGAATTTTAATCGGACCTTAAATCCCTTAAATCTACCCACCTGCACAGCGAAACGTGTTGGCTAACATGACTAACGGATACATTTACATGGAGAAACGCCCACAGTTGGGTAAAATTTGTTTTAAAAATGTGTGACGGTAAGGTACGTGGTTTTAAATATCAACTACCTTGCAAAGTATAGAGTTAGTTAAGTCAGTAACCTTGAGTTAAGAATCTATGTTTTTTTAGTTTACTTTGTTTTTTTAAAAACCTGTTTTCCAGGGGTAAAAATGTCAGCGGAAGAAGATTCGAACTGGTATGAACTGGTTTTCTTGACCAAAGACGCTGACAGATGGGTCTCGAAGAGCCAACCGGGAAGGTTCGGTTTAAGGTTTCGCCCCTTCAAAAAAATGTATCAAAAAAATGTATATTCACAGGTTTTCATTTTTAAAAATGATTTTAACATTTTGGTTTAAGTCAACACTTGGAATAATTTTATATTTTACAGCGACGGCTTAATTAACCGATGTTAATGTCCCCTAGTCGGTAAAGGATAGCTTTAAAATAGCTTGCCGAGTCATTATTCATATGTAGCTGCCGGCAATTTATTCTAAGTGGCCGAAAACGGTTATGATGTCATAATTCTAATTGAAAAGTGCGCGAATGTGTAATTACTGGTCATTAGTTTGAGAATTCAGTAGGAGGCGATGGCGAGATTAGTGACCAAATACAATATTGCAATCGTTTACTTGGAAAACGTTTACTTTTCAGCTCAATTAATTTGTATTACATTTTTGTCCTTTGCCAGGGAAAAATGGACATGGATACGCAACACTATTCCTTCCTGTTTCTTACAGGTAAATACTTAAAAACCCACTGTCATCCTATCTTTTAGTAGCAGGAAGCATTTTAAGGAGCTGTTTGCATTTCTGTGGTGGTGAAAGTCTTGTAGAGATTATGCAAATTAGCTGGAGATCATTGTTCCATGACTTCTGGTATTCCACCATTTAAAACAATATACAAAAGTTTCTTGACTTTTGAAATGTATTCTTTTTTGGACTTGAGTTTTCAGGCACATTGTGTTAAACATTGAATAAAATCATGATGAGGCTTACGTGCAGTTATAAATGTGCTGTCTGCAGTCTAAGCCTTAAATAGGTCTCTGAAAGTTCGACCACTTCACTCTGAACTATTTCGGGGCTACAACATTCATATCAGTAACCTGCTGTCTTCTTGGACAGACCAAAAGAACAAGTTCTGAAGTTGTGGACTTGGACAAACCTTTTGAGCACAGCCATTTAAAATAGCAATATTTTAAGATATATGTGTCATTTTATTTGTATCGGTGAGACCACTGATCACGTGTCCATCCGCAGGTCTTTGTGTCCTCATCCCCTGCCATCCTCTCCAGTATCACTTCATCAATACCCCTCTTTCCTGGTTGAATGCCCAAAAATACTGCAGGTCACAGTTCAGAGATCTGGCCACAGTCTTTGACGTGGAGGACATGAATCTTCTTGTGAACACGGCTCAGGACTCCAGTGGAGGATTCACCGCAAGGGCCTGGATAGGGCTGTACGACAACCTCACAAGCTGGAGGTGGTCATTCACAAACAGCAACTATTACCAGGGTTACGGGATGAATTACAGACAGTGGGACTTCGGCCAACCAGACAACTTGTTTGGGGACCAGATGTGTGTGAGGATGTGGAGCCGAGGGAAATGGGAAGACTCAAACTGCTTCCTGAGGAACTCCTTCATCTGCTACGATGGTCTCAGTGTAAAGCTACAGACAAGTCTACTGACAGATATTGAGGTGTTCTCTTGTTCTAATGTCCTGCTGTCTTTCCTTACAGATACTGCCAGGGACGACAAGCGTTTCACTTTTGTGGCCCAGGAGATGAGCTGGCCTGATGCTCAGCAATACTGCAGGAGACACTACACAGATCTGGCCAGTATTAGAAACCAGGACGAGAACAACCAAATTCAATATTTGGCCAACAACATGGGGGTCTGGATTGGACTGTACAGGTCAGAAGACATCATCAGACAGATTGAATTCATATTTTGCAGCAGATTATGCTGATTACTTATTAATAATTGTGTCCAACTTCATTTTTAAACTTGTTCGATACGTTATCCAGGTCTGGTGTATGTTGCTGTTTCACAGACTCTATATAATCTGCAGCATGTCTGCAACATCACCTGTCAAATTCAATGACAGCAGCTATTTGAAGAACACATACCTCCGTGTGCCACAGAGAATATTCCTTGATTTTCACTGTCAACTTTGAAAATCTCAGTGCAACAGAAGTCCATCTAAAATGTACATTTCTTTCTACAGGACGCGGGATTGGTCAGATGGTCGTGACTCCAAATTTCGCTACTGGGCTATCGGACAACCAGATAACTTCCAAGAGTCGCAGAATTGTGTCACAACTCATCTGGGCAACGCAGGCCGGTGGTCCGATGACTACTGCAGTGCACAGCTAGCATTTGTCTGCTATAAAGAAGGTATTAAAGTTGTTCCAATGTCTTGTGTTACTGATGTAGTTGCTGACACAATATGCACTACCGATTCAATACTAGTACTTGTACTAGGCAACTAGTACTAGGCAAGTGCTAATAGACAAAATGTCTCTGTGTAGTCCTAATAACGCAGGATTTCTGGATCTTTATGAAATTTTGTCAGTTTGTAGAAAAGATGAAGATCAGTGATGCTCTTCCTCTTCATGCTTGAAATTTGGTTATCATTCCATGATGTTTTCTTTCTCATTGATACTCTTGATATCATCATTAACTGTGACAGATGAACGGTCAGGTACGATACCTGTGTCCAGCACCACTGCTGTGACTCCTGACAAAATAACTTCAGCTAAGGCGGCGCAGGTGTTAACCGCCTCCAAACAGTTGGAGCACGTAATTCACTTGGAAGTCACATTCACCTCCAAGGAACTGATCAGTGAAGAAAATGTGAAAGAGTTGGTGGATGCTGAGGTGAGGCAAAGAAATGTCCAAAAGCTACATTTTATATATACTGTATATATACATATTTTTTTACATTCACACCTACACAGTGTAGGACCAGGTAAAATACCACCTGAATGATGCTAATGTTGTTTTGTTAAACTCAGCTCTTTGCTTCTTTCTAGTTTCACCAACGTCTGGTAGAAATGGGACTTCCTGAGAACATCAAGCTCAGCCTGAAGAAAATTGAGAAAGTTACTTAAAACACACATGGATCAGAAACTGGACAATCAGGATGTCCAGTAGATGTGATGGTTGTCTGACAACCTGCTCTGGTCACATCATGAAGAGATAAAAACATTTGTCAGAATATGTAAAATGTTGCTTAAAAGTTGGATTTTAATGCAATTTTCTGAATGTGTTCTTCTATGACTCTACTTTGCTGTTGTATGTCAGCCTCAAACAAATGTTGCATCTTTACAATACTGAATTTTCCTGGTATTTGGTGCTCTGTAACATTTTTGTCTGCAGCTTTCACTGACTCTGGTTCTGGTGTAGTAGTTAACAGCAAAAAGAAGTTGCTACTGGTTTAGAAATACACAAGAGTGATGTAAAGTGTTGTTTGTTTTGGGATCTCAGCAATAACATTATTGTGTTAACCTCTGTCAGAGAATTTTAAATTCCAGCCTGAACCTCTGGCTATCACACCATGTTAATAGGACAACTTTAAGCTGAACCTTAAAGTTTAATTTCCTTCAGTCAATTTCCAAGTGTCGTATGTGCAAAAGCATTGGTTTTGCCAAAAATACTACCAGAAATTAAGAAACAGTCCATTGCGGTAGATTGCTCAATGTGTAGATGTTTTATAGAAACAAAGTATTTTACAGCTGTGCTATGAACCCAACAGAAGGCAGTACATGTTTGTGTTGCATCTGTTTTTATAACTTTTTGTAAGTTAGGAAAAAAGACCCATTTCTCAAAATTCTTTATTGATCACAACCAAGCACACAGGTCAGGAAGTCAGTTCTGCCTGACAAATTATTCATTATATTAATGCACAGAAAACCAAAAATGTCTCTTGTACAAATCTTGACCTAGAGAAACAGCTTCTCAACAAGCAGCAAACTCAGTGATGTGATGAATGGTGTTGGACAACAGTCCTACAGTAATGACTGAGTTTCTTTCCAGCACTATCACAAGAAGAGAGGTTTGTTAAATAAAAAAAAACGACGACATTAGATAGCTGAGGCTACGGTTTAGATGTTTGTAGTTGTGATCGTCCATAGAAACAGTTAGTGTTTTTTGTTTATGGGTGACACATGCTCCCTCGTCTGGTGAATCTACTAAGCAAATTAAAACAACTAAAACACTGGAATTACCATACTAAAAGAAACAAAGCTGATTGTACTCACGAAGGTACCGTGGTTCAACCAAATTTGCCTTGACTTCACTGTACACTGAAATCACTGGGGGTTTTTTCTGTGGGCTTCAATTTATAAAAGTGAACCAGCAAAATAAATCCTAAATTTAAACAGTATCCCCCAGGACACTATAAAGGAATACCTGATATATATTTATATATAACTTCCCACACCTAACTACACTGAAAAAACTCTTACATCAAAGCATAAAATGGTGCCTCCCATTGTAATATTTCCAATCCATGTTTGTGACTGATAGTGTTCAAAAACTTTGCATAAACAAAAAAAACCTAAAAACTTAAAAAAGAAAAAAGAAACCATAGTTGAGTGGCTTCTTTATTGGGAATATGGTGTCTTTTTAGATAAAATTCTGTACAGGAAACCAAGTTCCACCCCTGAGTTCATTAGGTCATAGACAACCATTGAACTGTTTGAGGGTTGACTGTGACAACTCGGTCATTTCACTCCACATTTCCATGTTTAGCTGCTCAGTACAACGTGTGAACAATGAAACGGACAGGAACTAACACCTGTGGTGGTAAGTGCATAGACCCAAAAGAGAGATGATTGTGCAGATTCTACAGCAGCCATGACACAGCAGCAGTGCTCGATGCAGGCAAGAGCTAGCATCCTTACCATAGGGTAGTCTCCTTTTGAATTTTCTCAGCAGGTTGGCATTTGTGATCAGTGATTGGCTGTTATGAAAAAATGTGTTCCCTTGGATTTGCATTGCGTCCATTCATGCCTGGATTTTTTTGGTTGCCAGCATTGAGAAATCATAGCTCGTGTTAGGTCACTGGACAGTCATCAATCACAGTGCGTGTGACAGGGGTTTGTTTCAATTGTCGCTGAATCGCAGTCGATTAAAGGCCTCTTTGATGTCCTCATCCTCCTCTGAGGGTCTCACACCACCGACACTGAGCACCTTGCTTTGGGGAACATCCTGCTTCAGCTTACGTTTCCTGAGGATCACGGTGCCTTGTACGCCTTCCGTCGCAGGTCCTGTTAGCAGGAAGTAGGCAGCGTGGCGCCCCCGCTCCAGCAGAGTGGCTGCAAAGATACACAGAAACGTCATAGGGCAACAAAGACTACAGAGTAACTTCATCTGATCAGTCTAAGTCCAACAGTTCAACTATTTCACATCATGCCATGTGAATATTGAAGATCTTTTTTTTGGGCTTATGTGAAAAGCTCAACACAGGCTGCGTTGATTAGCTTTTCTTTCGCTTT